ACACACACACACACACAACCACTCACTCACACACACACACACACATACACCCTTACTAACTGACACAGACAAACTTATTGACAACAAGTTTCAGCAAAATGTTTGATGTAAATGAGATATCCTACCATCTGACCTGCTTCCTGCTACATAGATACCTCCATTTCAGGATGCCTGTAGGTGGGTTAGGATGAATCATGATCAGTGAGCAGTGTAATATCCAAACTAAAAAATGCAAATAACATTATAAAGCCTTGCCTTTTCCATAGATTTCAATGCACCCAGCCCATGAATGCTAACAGCAACCATATCATAAAAGGAAGGAGCTTCTACAAAATAATAAAATGTATTTCCTATGATAGACAGTCATGCACCAAACAATGACAGCCAGGGGGGAGTTCACTATTTGTCAAGCTGGCTTTATCCCACATGTTCCTGGGATTCCTCCTAGACTGGTTGGTAAATGTCAACTAATCCAAGTGTAATGACCATGACCATCGTTATGCATAATAAGTAGGTCAGAGTTCTAGCTAGCGCGAAGTAGCGGGCCCCCTACGCTATAATTTTGACCCCCTACACTAAATTTTCAATACAGCATAGGGGCATTGTGACTGTATTTCTTTACTCAAGAATGCCAGATCAAATGTGAAAAATTACCAATCAAGGATACATTGTACATACCTTAGAAATAACATTTTTTCCCTTGGGTATCCATCAAATGGCCCCTTATTTAGCTCAATTTTTAAAAGCTCCGCCCCACCCCCCCTCTTAAGTCGCTTTGCTCCCTTGACATGCGGCCAGTACCACTACGCTAAAATTAAATCCTAGCTAGAACCCTGTAGGTGATCATAATTATGTAGTAAGCATATATATAGAATTATGGATCAATAAACACGGCTTCACAGAAGTGATTGAACTGGTTTGGATCTCCATTTCTAGTAAGACTAAGTGTATATAATATAGGTAGATGCTAAGATGATACCAAACACGCCCCTAGACTTCATATGTTACAAGGTCAATGCACAAGGTCACTGACTGTAGTCAATGATGTAAGTGGAGGAAGAAAATTTAATGTTTTACTCACCCCATATCAGCGGATCATCCATACAACATGCGTGGTTACTGACAGTGATGAGTGGCTGTGCAGGGTGGCGTCTCTCCACTGCTTCTGTCAGGACAGCAAAGTTGTACACGTGGACATCGTTCAGTACTCCTGAAAACATACAACACATTCATCTCACTATAAATGGTAGTGTTATTTCTATTACAGTTCAACTGTCTTATAATCTATTTAAACAGTTGCTTATAGAGGTGCAGTGGGTTGGAGTAAACTCCCACCTGTTGTAAGAACTGCATCGTCTGTACAGTTCAAAACAGTTGCGTGTCCCCTTATTATGACCTGGCATGACCTTGAGTACAATTATGGATTACGATTGCGATATTGTCATCCTAAATTCAGCGTTAAGCGTTACTGAATAATTCTTCGTTACGTGTAGACCTGCGTACTAGTAGTCAAACCTCAAGTAGCGGTCGTCACTTTGCCTCTCAAAATGCAGGAAAATGCGTTATTAAATTTAAAGGTTTAAGATACAAAATTTCCTAGGGGAGCATGCCCCCGGACCCCCCTTACATTGCTCGGGCCATCTGCGCTCGGCCCCCTTCTTCCAGAATTTGTGGACACACTCAGGGGCCAAGGCAGGCGCGAAACACAGGGAACACTAGTGTGAAGTGCCTTAAGTTAAATGCACACTTTGTTAAGTATATTTCTTCAGCGACCACTCTTTCTCACCAATTCAGATACCGAATCTAGTGGCAACTGGAATTCGATAAAATGTGTGTCCATTTACCTCGTTACCAACTGTCCTGAATTTACCGTTAGGTGTTGTCGTCTCAGTAATTTTTTTGGAACCCTGTCTTGCTGTCCCAATACTTCAACCTGTCTAATGCTTTCCTGATACTTCAACCCCCTCTGTCCCGACATACCCAACCCCCCTCCCCTCCAATGTCCAAGTGTCCTGTCCAATGTCAGTGCCCCCCTCCCACACAAGGTTTTTTTTAACCGCCTTCAAGGAGAGAACAGATGAGTTGATTTTTAATGGATGGTTACAATACTAAGACGTTTATAGTGATGGTAAGAAGTAAAATACATTATGTACATAGCAATAACGACGTTGAAATAATAATTTGGACACTAACTCATCATTAACTTGCTGAAGCCGCCGACCGCCGCCAGTGTGAGTGTGCTGGCGGTGTTCCACAGCCTGCCGGGCCGCGCAGGGAACGGCCACTTCACTTCTGACGACATGACCAGGCCGGTGCAGTGTCTACAGCTCCTGGATTCCTTCTTCTTGATATTTTTGCTTCAGTATAAATCATAACTTGTTATATAAACTTTCAGAAATTACGATCCGAACAGCACAGTGTGTAGCAGTGTTACGGCGCCATCTTGCAGTCAAAGTTCAAAGTGCAGCGATCTCGAGGGTTATATTTGCATGGGTTTACGGAAAGGCCTGGGCTGGCCAAGGGTGGTCCGACAACTCTTCAAGCAGAGGTTTAGACCTTTGGCTTACTTCTCGCGTGTTTTAGGCGTTTTTATCGGGATTTTTACCTCCATCAAAAATGGAGGTATTGTTTTTGGCGCGTCTGTGTGTGTGTCTCTGTGTGTGGGTGTCTGTCTGTCTGTGGTTTGTGTTTCCGCACATTTGTAGTCAGCATAACTTCATAACGCCTTTAAGGATTGTGATGATATTTGGTATGCTAGTAGGTCTTAGGAAGACGAAGGTCAAGCTAAAATATGGGCCTTCTGGTGGCTGACCTTGGTACTGCAGCAAAACTTCTAGTTTTGGATACTTTTGAAAGGCAGGGAAACAGATGTGCGGGTAGGCAGCGCAGTTTAATTGATGAGGTTCTCCCTGTGGACCCCTGAGTTGACGGGATCTATTACAGCCTGACCTACTTAATATTTTAGACTGAAGGTGCTACTGTATTTGTAGCCAGCATAACTTCAGAACGTCTTTACAGTTTATGGATTGTATTAGGAAGACAAAGGTCAAAATCAAATGCCTATTATGTTACTGTAGAGGACGTGTTGAAATAAAGTATGACAAAGGAGAGGAATTTTACATCAAAAATATTGTAGTTTGAATTTAGAAAACCATAAACTGAACTAGATTATGCTAATTACGACCTTATTTCAATGGTCAATGAGACAAAAAAAAAACATTTACAAAAACTCATATATTTCATGCAGGTATGAGATCTCAGAATTCTTGTATTAATTTTAATTTCAAAAGGGACTGGCGTAATACATTTCAAATGAACAGAGTCCCTTTTGGGGTTTTTTGTTCCCTTACGGGCGCAAATGACCTCATGGCCCGGCGGTTATCCGCCCGACGGGAATCTTTCGCCTACATGCGCCGGCTAAGCGCAAAAGTTTGGGCCGCTGCGCTTCCAACTCGCCGAAATCGGGGGACCGTCCCGTCCGGCCCTGGTGACGTCATCACTAGCAACAGGTGAGAATGTTGGTCGGGCCCGCCACGGCTGCAGGTGGCGCCGGCGGCCAGACTTTATGCGCTTGGCCGACGCACCTGGGCGAGAGGTGTATCCTAAGCCTATAGGCTTATCGCTCTTTATTTCCTCTCTTTCGTTATATTGATTTGAAGTTCAAAAGTGACTGGCGTAATACATTTCCAATGAACAGAGTCCCTTTTGGGGTTTTTTGTTCCCTTACGGGCGCAAATGACCTCATGGCCCGGCGGTTATCCGCCTGACGGGAATCTTTCGCCTACATGCGTCGGCTAAGCGCAAAAATTTGGGCCG